GCAGCTGCAGCCGTGGGGACTGGAGTCTGCAGGAGCAACACAAAATCTGTTCCTTTTCTGTTTACCCCTGTGTATGTGTGGGGCTGGTTATGGGGAAATGCTCCATGGCCAGTTTTGCGCTTTTGGGGCGTGCACAAAATACCATACATTTGAGGTGATTCACTTGCACGCACATCTCTCTCTTGTGCAGTTTTCCCTCTTTTTAAAATTTATACTTCAAGGCTTCTCAGGCTGTTTCTCAGCATATGGCCAAAGGGTTTATGAGGCTATGAAACAGGCATGAAAAAAGCTCCATGTTTCATTTGAGTGGTGTGTGGTTTGAATAGTTAATGCATGCGTATGCATATTCAGAGCTTTGCATCAAAACCCCTTGCATATCATTTGTGTGTAAATACAGGTTTCTACCACTACACAGACAGCTAGTATCACATTATTTCTTATTCCCCTACTTATTCCCTGTGTGGTTTGCAGGTAGCAGTAGTAGAAAAATAATGTGATTTTCTATTTTTATAGGGGCTCAGCAGTTAATGTTCACTGCCAGGCACACTCCTTTTCATGTCTGGCAGCTCTACAGAACTTGGGTTGTGTGACTAAACTGTACTCATATGAAGCATGCTATTAAAATGGGAATGGCTGTTCAACAGATTAAGGCTTCCTAGGCTCCAAGTGCTTAAGGTGAATTTAAAGAAACCCACTGAAACAACTCCTTAGGTAGGTTAAAAAAACCCCACAGCCCCCTGGCCCCCAAGCTTGCCCCCTTGTCCCGTGTAATAGATATATTTAAAGTCAGTCTGTTGTGCAGCTGCCACTTGGAGTGGTGTAAGTGGCTGCAGCCAGCAATAGAAGTTCTGCCTGAGCAGCATTCACAGACCCCCACTCCTTTTTTGACACATCATTTTTCATCTTTTCGTCATTTTCCGTTTTCATCTGATCCACTCTGCTCTGTGCCCACCAAATCCTTGTGTTGGCAGGAAGGTGTCATGGCACAGGAGTAAATATGAACCTCTGTGGGACAAAGGTACCTGGGACTGGAGCATGAAGGTTGGCTTGTTAGACCAGAAGTCACAGGAGTTTTCTGAGACTCCCAGATTAATGCATATACTGTAAACAATTCAATTTTTACAAGGCATTCAGAGATAACCATTGTTGTCTTTGTTTGAGAAGAGCAGTATTGACCTTTTGGCTTCCAGAAGAGAACAACTTGTTTAACTGCAGTATTTTCTTGATCAATGATTATACTGTGCCCTTGTTTGTTCTGTTGAGAGTTGTTGAAAAACATGTGAACCAAAATAATAGATGTATTTTGAAGATACATATGTGCACACCCTGTGTGTGTGTGTACATACACATAAACATGGGTTTCAAATACTCCAGTGTAAGTGACTCTGCTTCACAGACTTAGTGCCCTGGTTGTTTTTGGTAGCTGTAATTTTAGCCTTTTGATCTCACCTGTTAAACATTTAAGTACTTTAAATAAACTCAGTGATTATGCTGGGAGTTAATAATTGGGGTTTCTGAAGTGCTTGGCCCAGCAAACAGATCCCACTTTTTCTAGTTTGGAAAAGGATTCTTCTAATTGTTTTCCAGAGTCACAGTATAAATTTAGAACGAATGATGTTGCTGATGCATAATGGAAGATTTGATAGGAAATCAGACTAATAAAGGCCAAATGTGGCTAACAAAGATTTAGTGAAGGAAAATGAGGAAAAGCCTTCCAACCTGTGTGTTGTGCTGTACAGGCAGCACTGATGCAGATACAGAGAGATTAATCTGGTCAAGATAAAACTAAATTACCATGGAGTAGGAGATTTTTGAAGATGACTGTTTCTGTTTCCATATTAAACACAAGGTCAACAGATTATAGACAAAGGGCAGGTCTGCCAAAAGAAAACAAAATATTTCAGAAATTATATCAGAGAGAGTGGATGTTGTGCAATGCCATGGGGCCTCTCAAGAAGGAAAAACCAGAATGTGATGAATAAATAGCTGACCTGATTGCAGGTAATTTATTAGTGTGATTAGTGCTATATAGTCCTTTTCCTCAAGGAAGAGAGAAGAATTGAATGAGACTTCCTCTTGCTGTTGCCCTGGCTTTTGATGTGTCTTAGTCCTGAAAATACCAACAGCTGTCTTCGCACCAATTGCAAGAAGTACTGTCTGGGTTTCCCCTACAGATTTCAGGTGCTTATATAACATGTATAATGCTCCATTTATGTGTTTTAATAATTACTGATGTCACCCCTGGTTTGCCTTTGCATGTCCTGTGTGCCTTCAAAGTAAGCTCTTATTTTTAAAAGTCAAGATAAAAAAAATACTGGGCAAGAATGCTGCAGGCTTAATTGAGCATAATATCAGCAAAACGTGCTGGTTTTCAAGTCTATCAAAATAAATGACAGTCTAAAGCTTGGACGTGTATCAAGTAAGATGAAGAGTTTTCTGTGTTAAAGCAGGCAAATGTTGATAACTTAGCAGAAACCTGAATTTAACTCCTCCATCCCACTTCTCTGAGAATATTATCACACCTAGCTTGTTTTGGGGGATTGATGGTTATGACAAGTGTATCAAATTTCATGCTGGTGGTATCTTTTATGTTTCCTGGGAGAAGAGAAAATAGCAGCTTTATCTTGTGCCCAGGAGTCACAGAGGGCAGGAATTGTAGGTACATGCCACACAGAGTTTTTAAATAAAAATGCATTGCAGAGCAGCACGTAGAAGAGATGGGGAAGGGGAGGAAAGTGGGAAAGGAGTGAGTCAAAAACTGTAGAGGAGCATTTATTGCATCTCCCCAGCTTTTATTCTAATGCAACACCACAGAGAGTTATGCATATGTATTTTGTTCAGACCCGAGGTGTCTATGAAAAACATAGTCTGCTTGGTTTTTTCAAGGGATTTGTAGCTTTTTGGTTTTCCATCCAGAATTCACTAATTTTGCAAAGATGATGTTTGCATGCGTGCCTCGTGTAATTCCTGTTTCTGTGCTGTAAATGCTGAAAAAGCAGAGGGTTTTTCAGAGACTGGTTCCCCTGTAAGTCCTGTTTAGGGGAAAAGTTAATCTTGTTTTATATACTTACAGCTTTACTCTGAAGCTCACTTTTAAAAGAACCCAAAACCAAATAGTTTCAAAAGTTGAAAGACAAGTTTAAACTAGCAAAGCCACTTCTGTTTAGGAGAATTGTACTCACAAGAAATGTGTAGCGTCTGATTCTGTCTTCCCTGGGACAGATGTATTGAGTTCCAGACCTGGAAGACAAACCCACAGATTTCCATTTCATTTTGCTGCCTTTATGAGGGGAAAAAAAAAAAAATCAACCCAAAAAAATCAAACAAAAACACAACAAAAAAACCCCAAAGACAAACTGCACAGAAATCCCCATAACAAACCCAACCATTTCTAAATGATTCTGAGTAATAAAGACCATAATTAAGGACAAGGTATGAGGCTAAGAAATCAGGCTTGTGCTGAAGGCAGGAGCAGTTAGCTTTGATGCAATCCTACGTGTTGATTTTTGGCAAGTCTCAGTGGGACAGATTTTGTAAGAGAGCCTAACTTCTGTGAAGACACCACAGTATGGGACTGCATTTTTAAGGGAGCTCAGCACCCAGTATGTTTATTTGGAAGATCTGGCACTGATTGCTGGTACCAAGTGCTTGAAAATCTGTTCTGAGCTCCAAAAATCTGGCTCCGTGAGCATGATCCATGCCTCCTTCCAAACAACGGTATTAGTTCCCCTGAATTGAGGGGAGCAAACGTGTGATTCTTTACTTCTGACTCTGATGGTGAATGGATTAATCAGATTTTCCTTTTTCCTGGTTTGTCTTATGCGGCTGAGTTTTGTGGTTGTTTCTACTTGTGTGTTTTTTACAAGAACTGCGATACTGCCATAAACATAACAAAATAATATTAATACAAAGGTACGTTGCAAATGAATTGAAGCTTTGGGGAATAGACTAGGTCTCAAATAAATGTGGATTCTTTGCTTCTTTTTTTGCCAAGGTCAGGATTAAATGTGTGAGATGGTATTTTTTTATTCAGACTCAGATGTTTATTGGTTCTTATCTCTGTTCCAGTCTCACAAACCCTGAGTTCTGCAGCACTTCACTTTAACAATGGAGCCCCATCTCTCTCTCTACAAGGCCTTTTAAGGCTAAACTGTCAAATTAAGAAATGATATGTAAATTACTTTTACTTTTAACCCAATAACCAACCATTCGTGCCTGCAAGGTGGACTTTTTAATCCAGTTACACAATACTATCTATGAAGAAGGAGGTGAAGAAGGATCAGCCTCCACCCTAAAACTCCCATCTTGCTTTATATATATTACCATATTTTAAAACCTTAAACTCTTAAGTTTTCCACCCTGTGATATCACACACTTCTATTCAAACTCCACACCCACAATCCCAGCTCTGTCATTCCATTTTGGAAGCCTTCTCCACGGCCTCAGGTCAGTGCAGTGTTCTCTTGGGGGCCAGTGCCTGCCACCACAGAAAGTCTGAAATTCTCAGCAGCCAGGGTTCCAACAAATAAACGCCACTGGAATACAGATGAATCCAAATGAAGCCATAATTTTAAAACCACCAGCCCCAGCAGTGTGCTCTGGTGCTCTCAGGACGTGGCTGGTAGGCATGCTGCAGTCTCTGCTCACTGCAGGTCACTCTGGGGACTGACCTGGATTGAAGCCTGCTGGTCCCGTTCAGGGGAATAACCCAGCAGTGGTGTTCCATGCCCCCTCTGGAGCTGGTTTGACTCCCAGCAGCTGGTGTTGCTGGGCCCTGCAGCACGGGCTCTGTGCCGTGCCGTGGCTGTACATGCATTTTTTTGTGTGCCATCCCTGTGCATTTTGACCCTGTTCGCTGAGTGCAGGAGGAGCAGCGTCCGTGTCCGGTGCCCAGCATGGAGATGCTCCCAGGCCTCGGGTGTCCCACTCTTGTCACTGCTGGCTGGCTGCTTGTTGTGGGAGGAAATGTGCTAATGAAGTCCTCTTTTTTGTTATTTCAGGAAACCTACCATATGAATATAAAATAGTGATTGCTGGGAATCATGAACTGACATTTGATAAGGAATTCATGGCAGACCTTGTTAAACAAGATTACTACCGCTTTCCCTCTGTGTCCAAATTGAAACCAGAGGACTTTGACAATGTTCAGTCACTCCTGACAAATAGTATTTACTTACAAGATTCAGAGGTAACAGTTAAAGGATTCCGAATATATGGTGCCCCGTGGTAAGTCTCAATTTCAACTTTCTTTGCTGTTTATTGCTTGAACCCCAGCAGGAATCATTCCTGTTGAACCTGCATGAAGCTGCTTTGTTGCATTGCCCTGCAGAACAGAATCAGACTTAGCTGTAACCATTCTGACACCGTTGCTTTTCTTTTTTTTTTTAATTTTTTTTTCCTTTTCTTTTTTGGATAGATAATCTCTGTTTAGCCATGTGTGTGGAATAAGACAAAAGGAACTGTAACTATTTCTGTTCTGCCTGCTGAATGCGCCTGAACTTTTGGAGTCAATACTGACTCTGTGCTTGTGGATGAACTGTGGTGGCATTTTGGGACATATTAGGGGAACTCCATTACATCCTATACTGCTGAGCTATTTATATCTGCTGTGCTAATAGATTGGTGTGGTGGCATTTAACACCCACACAGCACAAGGGCACAAGGCAGCAGGTGCTTAAACCTTATTTTTTGAGCAGTTCTGGGCATTGTTTTCTTTTGCTTGTAAAGCTGTGATAACAGAATTTCAAACCACTTTTGGTTTCATTCCACCCATGTGTCAAGCGTGTCATGCAGGAAAGATTGCTGCCCAGTTTTGTGCTAAGGAGATCCTGCCTTGTTTTTTTCTACATGTCATTTAATTGTGATGCCTGACATCTTTCTCTGGAGCCTTGGGTAGCACTTGTTCTAAATTCTCATGCTGAGAGCAGCCACAGTCCTCTCAGGTTTTACCAGAGACCTGAACTTGAGTGATGGTGATAATCACTCTGTTGCTCGGAATTCTCAATTGTCAGCAGAGGCACCGAGATGCTAATTTATGCACACCTCTAAGAAGGGCTTATTATGAGCTTATAACTTATTTTTGATGTCAGGCTTGCTTTAAAGGTAAAAGCAGGAGAAGGGTTGAACCAGGAAATGGGACAAACCTATACATGCATTAGGAATTTTCCCCTTCAGCTCTCTTTGTTGCCTTGGCCTGCAGACCTTGGTGGTTGGTGTGACACCACACATGTTGATGCCTCTGACAATGCTTTCTCCTGGTCATATTGTATGCATCAGTGCTGGCTGGAAAGCTGTGATCTAGCTCTGTATCTCACATTCTTGACTTGAGCTGCTAATCTTTTAATTTAAGTCATAGCCTTTAGCTACTAGTTTAAATCAGCCTGACATTGCTTAGCTAAAAAAAAAAAGGTAATGCCCTAAATCCTTGCAATATCAGCAAATTGGGAAAGATGATCTTAATTCAGGCTAGGAATCATCTCCTTGAGACATTTAAAAGTAATTTTTTTGTAACAGCAGCACAGAAGGCCTTGGGTATTGAGGTGGGTGTGAGGCTTGCTGCAGGCTGAGGAGCTGAGGAAGGCTTGCTGCTGAGGTTGGGATTGTGTTCAGCTGCTTTTGTGTGTGTGCATCACACTTGGAGGGCCTGTGCAGTGATTAGGGAGGGCAGGCATATTTCCAAATTTATTTGGATCAGATTTAATGAACTCAGCTTCCTACAGCACTGCTGGAGGGACCTGGAGAGCACAGGAGAGAACCGTGTGATGCACCTTTACATTTATACATACTGGCAATAGATCATGTTCCTATTTCTTCTCTTCTCCTTCCCCAATCTGTAGTGGAAACCTGTCATCCTTTTGTCACCAGCTGCATTTGGAGTTCTTTCAGTTTGCAGGTGTGCACATGGATTTGGAATGTTTGCTCTGGAATATTAAGGGCCATCACACCAAGGCCCTGAGTTGTCTGAGCTGTAAAAAGTGAATGGCATGTGTCTCCTGACCTAGTCATGGAAGACAAACCTGAATTAATCTTTCCTATAATCCATTGCCAGCTGGATTTTTCCCATTAGTGATGCATGATAAATGAAGCTACATTGTTAGAAATTGACACTGAGCTCGAACCAAGTGAGGACCCCTCTCTCTTGATCTTCATTTGTGTTTAGCTGCCAAAAATTGTTGTCAAATCATGTCTTGAGCAACTCTAGGTGTGGAGTTGAGCTGTATTTTCAATACAGCTTTTTAGATCAGTCAGCCAGTCTGTGTTGAGAGCAGAAATGTGGTGTTGTCCATGCATTTTCCCTCTTTATTTTTTTAATAATGAAAGATTTTAGAAAATGTGAATTTTTTTTAATTTTTTTTTTTTTTAGCCAGTCGTTCAGAGGAAGGAAAAGTCCTTCCTCTGAAATATTAGTAAAATCTGCTCTAAATTTGTTCTGTGCCTGGGAGCTGAGACAGAGTGATGAGACAAGAATTTTACCCCTCCTTAAATTTTTATTCTCTCTCTCCTCCAATCACATCTTGCTCTATTCCTATAAATCTTCAGACTACCCCAAAGGAGGAGAATTTGTGGCATTTTGTGTGTATTTACAGCCTCCTTACCCCAATTAGTTGTGTCACAGAAATGGAGCACTGGTCATTAACCCAGAAGATGTGCCAACCCCTAAAAAGAAATAAGTTGGCATGTTCAATTTATGTGCAGTTTTGTAACTATTTCCAGAGCGGGGAAAAAGCATTTTCTCATTTGCTGGTAAAACTACTGGTTTTAATTTAAAAAAGAGGGATCAAACCAAGAATAACAGATGTGATTCTGGAGGTTTGAGCTTGTCAGGGGTTTGTAAGAAGTAATTGCCAGAGTACTGGGAAGGCTGGCTATAATTCATCTATCCAGAAAATGTAAATTGCCAACTCAGTGTAAATACAGAGACAAAATATCTGTTCATATTCATTACATGTTATTACTCATGGTACATCTAAAAGCTTTCTAAAGACCTAAGAGAATTCAAGTAGTGCCTCCTAACTTACAATTTAGCAGGATTTGTGAGTAAAAAAATGACTTGGAATATACATGGGAGCATTGGTGTGTGTTTGCAATTGGAATGTGCCGTGGTGCATAACAACAGCCTCTGAGGAGCAGAAAATTTGAATTTAGCCTGATAGTTCTGAGAACATTAAATGGCATTAGCTGGAGGGAAGTTGAAAAGAAGAGTCTCAGCTCCTAAAAGAGAAAAGTGCAAGGGTGGGACATAAATCACATTCAGAGCTCTGCTCATTTTCTGAGGTGAAGAACGTAACTGACATTTTCACACCTTAAATAGGAGATTCTTTGATGTAGCTTGAAGGAGCAAAATGGCTGAAGATCTTCCATTTGGTCTGTAGATAACAATCCAACAATCCACAAAAACATTCCCCTCCTTTCTCTTCCTTCTGACTCTGCCCTATGAACCTGGCTTGTTTGCTGGGAAAATAATTGATAGTTTATGCAGTAAAAAATTCTGTAAGATTCCAGGGAGAACGTTTCCTCCTTGGGAAATTCGAGATTGAGGTTTCCTATTAAACAGGATGGAAAATAAAACCAGTGATGGATTTATGAATTTTTAAATCTTCAGACTCCCTCTGTGAAGTAAACATAAGCATAACTCATGCTGATGTCTCTGTGAAAGGGTGAGGGGAGACAGTCTGTTTTTACTGCAGCTTTGGGTGCTGAATATGCATAAGTGAATTAGTGTAAGTTTTACTTATATTCAAATGTATTTTTAAAATTATATTTGAAATTGTTCATCCGTGCTGAGGGCTGAATTTACCATAGTGTGCTGCAGACATTTGGATACAAATACTCTCACAGTGTGTATTTTCTAATGAAGCTTTAAAAGAACTCAAACCACCAGACAACTGCAGTTAACTGGAGCCAGAATTTGTTTAAACCACATTTTGACAGAAACAATTGTTCAGGGAGAATATTTTTCACTGTTTTATTTTGTTCTGTTGATCAGCTCTATAGGTAACTTCTGTGGTTTTTTGCCTGTTTGAAAGAGAAAAGTAGCTGAAAAGAAAGTATTCCTAGTATTCTAAAACTATTCTTAGTATTCTAAAAGTACTAAAAAGTATTCTTATTATTCTAAAAGTATTCTTTAGTATCTAAAAGTACTTTACTTTGTGTGTGTCAAAATTTGTGATTCCTACTTTTATGAAGGAGGCAGTAGGCTTACTTATGGTTTTTAAATTCTGTTCTGCATAAGAATTTCACAGAAAACGTCAAAAGCTGTAAGTGAAAAATAATCTAACCAAGCAATCCTTTACATCACTTTTAGCTGTGAAAGTATGTGAGCAAATTCCACTCACAGAATGAGAAGTAAAGCTGGAGGTCTGGGACTTTCAGCCTACATATTTGTTTGGATAACTGGAGATAGATGTATCTTTTCGAAGGAAGAAATGTGCAGTACGTATGTGTATATATATATACGTATATATTTATATAAATAAATACCTACATTATAATATATAGATATGGATAATAATAGATAGATAATATAGATAAATAATAAACATATGTACTCTCAGCCTATATATTTGTTTAGATAACTGGAGATAGATGTATCTTTTTGTGTAGTGTAATATATGTATATGAATATATAAATATATAAAAATATCTTATCTTTTCGAAGGAAGAAATGTGCAGTGCGTATGTATATATATATATATTTATATATAAATAAATACCTACATTATAATATATAGATATGGATAATAATAGATAGATAATATAGATAAATAATAAACATATGTACTCTCAGCCTATATATTTGTTTAGATAACTGGAGATAGATGTATCTTTTTGTGTAGTGTAATATATGCATATGAATATATAAATATATAAAAATATCTACAATATAATATATAAATATAGATAATAATATATAAAATATATAAAAATAATGAATAGACTTTCAGCCTATATATGTCTAGATAACTAGAGATAGATGTATCTTTTTGAAGGAAGAAATATACAGTGTAAATATATAAAGATATGTAAATATATAAATAAATATCTACAACATAATATATAAATATAGATAATATATATAAACAATAAATAGATAGACTTTCAGCCTATATATTTGTTTAGATAACTGGAGAGAGGTATATTTTTGAAGGAGAAATGTAGTGTAAACATATATATGAATATCTACAATATAACATATAAATGTATATAATTATATATATACACACACA